TCCACGTCGTATAGCCTGGGTGCTGTATTTCATACAGTAGCTAAAGGATACCTCAATATTTCAATGTTTCTTATTAAAAATGTAAAAGTAATAATAATAATAATAAAATAATAAAGTTTTAATAAAATTATAAAAATGTTTATGCGAATAAATAAAAATGAATATATGAATTGAAAGAATAATATTAATCACTTTGATAATTTCATAAAATGCTATAGTCTCAAACATCATCCTGCTACAATTTTGCGCTTCATGACTGACCAGCCTTTAATCAGCATATGCTATGGATTCCTGAGAATCAAGGTCATCTACAGCTATGTAATGGCTTTATGAAATTACCAGAGCAAAATAATAATATTTTTCCAAATCAAAAGAAATAAAGAAATAAAACAATAGATGTGTTACTAAATGCTAATAGAGTATGGGGATAATCAAAGGAATAACAAAGGAATTATAAAGGAATTGTAAAAAAGGATAAGGGTAATTAAAAGGATAAAGGTAATATCAACTTTGCATTTGTCTTTTATATACTGTCTATTTTTTTTATAAAGGGACGGGGATTAATACAATTCAATTATGACGCGGTCGGTTTCTCAGGGGACATGTATGCTATCAAGGTAGGTAAATGCTAATGGGAGTTTTATGGTGTCGAAGTGTATGCTAATCACGTCTTTTTGTAGGTCTTGATGCGGCTCTTTTTCTCTATTCCACCGTCGTCTTTGTCGTGATGGTGGTGGTGGTATCTTCATCGTCAGGGGGCACGCGATCGTGATCATAATCGTGATCACGATTATGATGGCATTCTACATTTAACCTCCGGGGCTGTTTTCGTCGTTGCGGTTCTTGCCATCTTTGTCGTGGTCTTCCCCCTTTTTTTTTTGTGTAGGTCGTTTGATATATAACGTCGAACTCATGAACAGACTTGTCAATCGATGCCTCCAACGACGCGATTCGGTCAAGCAATTCCTGTTCACGACTCGAAGTGGTGGTTGATACGGGTGATTCAACTATGATGTGGATTCTTCTGAATTGGAGTCAATTTCTCCGTCCTCTATGTCGTCATCAACAATCGTTATTTCGGGGTTCAGTTCTTGTTTCTCCAGACTCTCCTGCTTAATCTTGGTAGGTTCAATATTCATCCATTATCATTTTTTTTTTTTTTTTATGTGTGTGGACGACTAATACTAACTTAGCGTCATTCTTTCTCTATCGTTCTAGGTTGTGGCGATGTCATGGATCCGGGAACTTCGTCGTTTACGGCGTATAGGTCTTCTTCATGATTAGGGGACGATGCGCGATCGTGATCATGACCGTGATCATGGCATCGAAGTGTATCTCCAATCGTCAGGGCGGTATATCTCTCATCGGTCATGGTGTTGATTATTGCGGGGGCTTGTCGGAGCATTAGACTTTCCTTGCTGCTCTGACATCTTTGAGAATATATATGCATGCATATATATTCTAGGCATGCTTATCGTTTGCAAACTTCGTATGATAAACTTTTTCTTCGCGATCGTGATCATGATCACGATCATGATAGAATTTCGACGTTTCTAATCGTCGGTCTTGGTTGTATTCTCTCGTCTTGATGTAATTCCGGTAAGTCGCGGCGTTTTCTTTCTTTTGCGGCGTTCTACCATTGGCTTCTAACTTTTTCTTACCAGTCTTTCCCTAACCCCATGCTTCACGTTCGATTCGCCATCTGCAGGTTCTCCTTGACCCTCGGCGATATCCATCGTCCCTCGCATGTGCTACCAGAATCTCGTCGGTAAGTTCTAGTTCTTTGCCGTTGGTTTCTTCGCTGTTTTCTCCTCAGATGGTCCTTCTTTCTCTAGGTACTCGTCTGGAGCTTCTTTCGGCGTCGCGACTTCTTCTTTCTTGGAACCGGAGTTACGTGACAACGCGCAATCATGATTACAATCGTGATCATGATTGTGATTATTGTTACTCTTCGGGGTGTCGATTGGAGATTCCACTATCAACATTTTACTTTTGATTTTTAAACATAAACATCGCTTGACGAGAATCTACGTATTGCTTTGAAAACAATCGTAACATCGTCAGATATCTTTCATTTCCTGACTTTTTTTAGTTTCTTCGCCAGCCGGTGACGTTCGTTTGTAAAGATTTCGCCGGAAACTTGAGGTGAGGTCTTTGAAGAACTTGCAACCGTCGGCATCATCCTTTCTCCACCGTTCTAGGTCGTGGCTCCGGCATTTCTCTACACCGTCCAGCATCCTTCGGGGCTGATGTCATATGGCCGGTAGATCTTTTCTTTGGTTTATTTGTTTCTCTTCTTTGGGGCATCGTTCATATATTCATTATTTTCTCATTAATTTAATTTAATTTTTTTTTTTTTTAGGGGGAGGCGCATATACCACCGATCCCGTGATTATCGTTTCTAAGGCTTCGCTTTTCTTCTGCGCAAGCCATTCCGGAGCTTATACCATTGGTTTGGGACTTCTTTTAGGTCGGGACGATGCTTCTTCATCTATTCGGCATATACCAGCAGCCGAATTCTTCTTGGACATCGTCGTTGGAGCGGAATTGGTCTTCGTTTCTCCGATCGTCGCGGACACAACGTCGCTTTCGTCGCTCCTGTGAAGATCGAACTTCCTCGGGGGCAATTTCTC